ACCGGAGCGTTGCCGCCGCGAACTCTGCACGCCTCAGTGTGCAGTCGCTGCCCATTCAGGTTTTTTCACGCTCAGGCCATGAAGCGGACCCTATCAGCGGGTCGGATAAGTGCTAATGAATGAGACGAAGATGACGTGTGAACTCTCATCGTCTTGCGCTACCCGCCCGACCTTTTGGCATTCGGTAGATGTCCTGCACGCTCCGCGTGTCCCACACAAGCTTGAGCGATGCTCCGATTCTACTGCGTTTTGTAATCATAGCGTCTGTTCTAGCAATGAAGTACTTTCCACAACTCCCAACGGCTTTCTGCCTGTATCAGCTCTTACACGCTTTTTTTAGTATCTGCTTTGTATCCTCCGTTCATATCCGGCCTAGCCAACAATATGACGTCGACCCGGGTTTGTAGTTCCCTGTGCGGTTTTGGCCACATATATGGCTACCATCGACAGGAGGTGAGGTATAGTTGCTCGCAAGTGCTGCCCTTTGGCCATGTAGTTCACATTATTTGATTTCCTTTTCCTAATGGTCAGGGAATTAAGTAGCACATTAGGATCATCATAGCTCACATGCTTCATAATTAACATCATCGCCGTGTGCAGATCAACTGCTAGTGGGTGTGGATTTCTCTTTCAAATAAGGTATCCCTTCCTGCTAGACCTATTAACCCAACAGGACTAGACGATTTGTGGTGGCCTCTGATTTCCAAATATAACTCCATTAATCAAAATGACAACCATTACTATCAACACAATTCATCTTCAATTTTAGCATGAAACAAGTTTGCGTATTCCTCTTGTATTGAAATCCAGAGATCCAAGCGATTACATCGGTGTACAGTCATCATGTTGGCTTGTGAACCGTTGCGGGAACTGTCTAGATATTAGTTGTAGTTTTGACCGGAGGGCAAGCACGCATGAACATGATGAACATGAAGCAGTTTCCCACCTCGGCTCGTTCAGTTTTTCTTGAAGGCATATGGCACGAATTCGTTACTCGATATAAAATGCTAACAGGGTGCTGTGGGGAAAAACAGTGGGGAAAAGGCGAAAAGCGAAGTGAAACGGACAAAAAAAGTGCTAAGAAAAGTCTCCGTTCTCGATGACTCAAAAAGCAATTTCGGACGAGTTTCCGTAGGCATCTTGCCAATAACCGCTACGGTAGGTACGGCTGCATGTATAGTACTCATATATCCATGCAGCACCGTGGCCGCTTCGTATCAACTCCTTCGCTTCAGAATTTGCTGAGCAAATGAAGCAATACGAGCATCAGCACGGTCGTCCATTTGTGGGCGGGCGGGCGCAGGTGGGCGTCCGGGTCGGTATGTTGCAGCTTGAGGCCTTGCAAGGGTCCCTTTCTTGGAAAAGGCGCTATGCAGCGCCTCTCCAGAGGCGCGAAATTCTGTCCTGTCAGGCGTATTAATCCTGATCTTATTAGGGAGTTATCGAGCGAACTGCCTTTAAGAGCACGTTGTCCAACGTAGGGCCAAGCGTTGCCGTGGACTAGAACCGGTCTCTTCTCTGTTGATAAGTAATGTGCTCACCTTTCGTTAACTTCTTGACAGTACTTCTCAGCTGCTATGGTTCCACCCGGATACATAAAGTTTTGAACTCGCAAAAGGCATCCTTCTTTATGAGCGGGATTCACGGTACACCTCTCGTTGTGGAAATTTTGTACAAAATACGTACTTTTCTAAATTTGTTCCTCTAGCACACTTTCCAACCGACCTAGAATATTCACATCCTCTCCTGAATTTCATCGTCGAGAGGAGAAAGACACCCTCCGATTACCCCGTTCAGCATGAGAAATAGTGGAATGGCGGTGCTGCCAATTGAGGGGTTATATAGCATCGTGAAACGGGACTAATCAACAACTGGAAAAAATATTCCCACGGCAAGGTACGACCCCTCGATAAATGGACCATATACAGCCCCCGTTGTCTTTTATCCAGATGACGCTGTGCCCTGATTTAAACTATTGGTTCGGGCTGTTTCATGCTCCTGTACTCGCTGAACTGTTCAGACTTAATTATAGTGCTCAGAATTCTTCCACTCATTGTTTTTGTTCGCATGTACTGATTACTATCTTCAACTGAATTGCATGCTACTTGTGACCAGTACGATATCCCACATTGATTAGAAGAACGAAATGGTCATTTGGGAACATTCTTGCACGGAATTTGTGCACATTTGTGTCCTTATGCTCGCCCACCTGGCACAGCCATGCTGGAGCCTCAGAGTAACTTTCCGCGATTGTCTCATTAACATACACGGGTGCGCTTTATATTCCAGTAAATAGGCTAGCACGTGCGACCCTATGTTTGGACCCCTAATAAGTCCATGATAGACATCAGCCCATAAAATAAGATGTAGCATGTACACAGTCACATGAAAAGTACTTTTACTAGTTCGTTAGCGCTCACTGCTTCTAGACCGTAACTAAAGAATGTACTCAATAAAACGATACTGAGATCAATAAAATCTGTACGACTATGCCAGAAAACGCATCACCGTATTCATCATACATGCTTTCCATGAATACTTGGTATCATCGCAATCCGGTGGGGGCGGTGTCAGTAGGCGTGGAGTGAGGTCACCAGCGGCTGTATTTTCCACCAATAATTGTCGGTTGATGTATAGAACAACCAGCAGTAAGCGTCGCGGGTGGGCTCATTCCAGGCCTCCTGGCACCGCCCTGCCGGGTTGCGGCGATATCAACTACACGGCTACAGTAGTACGTTACGGTGATAAGACAAGGAAAAAAACATAAATAACACATACGAACACCCGAGCGGACCCCTAGAAGCTCGTTCTATTCGATGAAAGCGAATCACGCAGTCGACGACGTTCCTGCACAAAACCGCTTCCACTACGTTACTACAAACTCTGACATAATTAAAAATGGTAGAAAAAAACTACGACAATTGCTACAATTCGCAGTCGAAATTCGAGGCGATGTGGCAGCAGTAATGTAGCAAGATGAAAGAGGAATATCACAACATAGTATAGTTCAACACAAAGAGAAAATAAATGATAGTAAAGAATCGTATACGAATCGTTCAATCATTAGCGAGGGAATCATACGGTACACAAAAAATAATTGACTGGTCAAATCAAATATCATGATGGTTCATATAGCTATACTGGTACGATCACAGTCCTACAATAATCAATTGATCGATAAGGTCATTTGTACGATTGAATATATGGTTGATGTCGAATACACGGCGCACAAATGATGCAACTTTCTGAAAAAAGTTGTCTTAAATTTAGGAACTTTTATAAACAGTTAGTAGAGATACAAGTATATCCTTAATTCTTCTTGCTGAAGTCTCCTACACCCTTTTTTCGTGGCAGTCGAACGCTGGGGGCATTCAGTAGGGCTGGCCCTGACGTGGCGCCAGCCCGGCGACCACGATTGGGAGAATGCAGCGCCGAGCCTTTCCCTCCCCCTCCGTCCCCTCCCTCCTGAAACGCCCGACTATCCAAGCACATCATTGTTACCTGACCATTACCCTGGGGTGTGCGGGGTCGTATCTAAGTAAT